ATTTAGAGACAGGGCCTCACTGAGTTGCTTAGGGCCTCGCTGTGGCTGAGGCTGGCTTATGAACTCACGATCCTCCTGCCTCAGCCTCCCCAGCCGCTGGGATGACAGGCTGAAATTTGTTTTTTGACTGACACATAAAAGCAAAGATTATCCATATTCATGGGGTACCTGGTAGTGATGTTTTGATACCTGTACACGGTGTGTCATGTTTAAATCAGGCTAAACATATAAACCTCCTCAAACATTTATTATTTCTCTGTGCTGAAAACATTCAAAAGTCCTTCCTGCTTTTAAAAATATGCCATTCATTATTGTCATCTAGAGTCACAGTGGTACACCAGCACTGCGTGCTTCTACCCAGGGGAACACAGCACCCACTGAGCAACCTCCCCACCCCCTTGCCATCTGAGAGCCACCAGTTTTCTCTCAGCTTCTGAGATCAGTATTTTCCATGTCCCATGTATGAGATCCAGCAGTACTTGTCTTTCTAAATCCGGCTCATGTCATTAAACATAACGTCCTGCGGTCCCTTTCGTGTTGTTACAGATGACAGGGTTCGTCCTTGTTTATGGCTGTGTAGTACTCCATTGTGGTTTTTAAGATTTTGAGCGATCTCGACCGTTTTCCATGACGGCTGTGCTACTTGTGATTCAGCTTAGCTTGGGTTTATTGGGACATAACCCCAGTGTAAGTTGAGAAGCATTTGTACCCTTTCTCTGGGTGACCTTCTGGTGTCCTGAGGTTGAGCTCAGCTGTGTGACACCTTTGGCCAAGAACACAGGCTTCCCATCCCCGTGGTGACTGGACATGCCCTCTCTTGCCAGGAGAGGGACGTGCCCAGGCTAGCCCACTGCGGGACCAGAGGAAGGCGGAGCAGGACCGACTTCCCTGAGTCCCCCCTCCCCTGACCTCCAGGCAGGTCAGCTGACAGCCAGCGGCACCCGGACCTGAGACCAGGTCCAGCCAAGACCCGGTGCCGCCTCGCCCGAGCCCCCAGGTGGACCAGCACTGGAGGCCAAGCCTGGGGGCCACTGTGGACCAGCCGCTTCATGGGGATCCCAGGTGCGAACAGACAGTGACGGAGGCTGGGGAAGCCACTCGGAGGCCATCTCTGACTGCCTGTCCCTTGCCCGAGGTCACCGTGAGGGCTGGACACTACCCTCCCCGGGCCCAGAAGGTGTGACCTTGGGTTCCGGGCTGAGCCCAAGTGGACGCCATGAGCAGCGAGGCTGGGGGGTCCTGGCCTGCCTCCTTGGGGGGGGGCTGATTGTGTTGTTTGTTGCACTAAATGGACCGTTAACCAGGCAGCTCAGCTCCCAGGCCCCAGGCCGCTCCCCGGGCTTCTCCGCAGAGCGTCCTGGTGGGAAATGGGCACTGGCTGAGCCTGCCTGCGGGACACAGGGACCCCAGCCCCTGCTCTCCAGGTGCCACCCCCCCATGCCCCTCGGGGTCTCCTGGCATCATGGGTCCCATTTTACAGATGCAGACATTAGGGCCCAGAGAAGTTGCTCATTTGCTCAAGATCACACAGCAAGGAAGGAAGAAGGGGGTGGGGGTGGAACCCAAGTGCCCAGGTGTCCAGAGCCAGGCCGTGCGCTGTCCTCTGCAGGCTCCCCTGGGTCACCAGCTGCCAGGCGCCACCGACATTGTCAGCTGTCACGATCCTGGCAGAGGCGGGGGGGTGGGGTGGGCTGCGGGAGCCGCTCCGCGAAGCCTGGGTGACTCTGCGCGTCACTGCTGCTGCGCGTGGGGAGGGGGCGTCCCTCTTCCTACACCTCATGACACGGTGGCTATTTTTGTCCCTGCTTTTTATAGTCAAAGCGTGTTCACGTCAAGGGGACGCGTCAGGCCCCGGGAAGTGACGTGCAGCAGCCAGGGAGCCGGGCTGACGTCAGGGCCCCTCAGTCACCGCCCCCATCCCTGGTCCTGGTCCCTGGTCCCCGTCCCTGGAAGCTGTCACGTTGGGAGTTGCTTAGGGACACGGGCAGTGGGTGGACTGTGCACCTCCGCCATCCCCGGGCCACTCCCCGCCGGTGTCCCCAAGCCCGGGGCTCTGGCACCTGCAGGTCACTCTGGTGGCTGCCAGTGGTTCCCCAGGTCACCTTCTCTAACACGAGCTGGGGGGTCGGGCCTCGGGGAAGGGAACTGGGGGGCGTGGACCCCAGAGGCAAGGACACCAGCCTGGACCGCAGAGAGGACACAGCGGGACCAGGGAGGGGGCAGGCTCTCGTGTGACCCGAGGGGACCTTGGGGGGCAGCCACCTGGGGCCCCCAGACCGTCTTGGAAACTGAGCTCCTCCAAGCTTGGAGACACAGCCAGCCCAGGCCCTTATTCCGTGTCTCCTTCTCTCTCTTTCCCACATCCTGAGGCAGAAGAGAAGAGAAGGAAAGAGTTTACAGCTAAAAACGGAAAAGTTAAAGTTTGAAAAAGGCTGAGTTTTGGAGTCAGACTGAATATGTTCGTTTCCCTCATCAGCCACTTGGCTGTGTGTCTCTGGGTAATCTACTGCACTTCTCTGAACACCATTTTCCCAGTCTGTGAAATGGGAATGATGATGGTACTTCACGCACAGTTGTCATGAAGAGTGTGGAAGGCTGTGTTTCCAAAGACTCACCACCACGGACCCATCGTCCTTAACCTTCAGGACCTGTCAGGAGCCCGAGCCCCTGCCCTGAACCTGGGTGAGCATTTAGGACAGTCCTGACAACGCAGCCCAGGGGAGGTGACAGCAGGTGACAGCCGCTTTCTTTCCTCTTTCCCCACATTTTTCATCGTGTGTTACACTTTACCTCCAGGTGGGATCTGTCCCTGTTCCTACAGGCACACGCACGGCCACGACGTAACGGTTTAATCTGGCCAACCTCACTCCCCAGCGTGCCCCACTTCCCAACCCTTGGTCCCTTTCCCTGTTTTGAGGTGTGGGGGGTGTATCAGGGGTTGATCTCAGGGGCCCTCGACCACTGAGCCCCACCCCAGCCCTGTTCTGTGTTTTATTGAGAGACAGGGTCTCCCTGAGCTGCTCAGGGCCTTGCTGTGGCTGAGGCTGGCTTTGAACTCGCCATCCTCCTGCCTCAGCCTCCCGAGCTGCTGGGAGGACAGGGGTGCACCACCACGCGCGGCTCCCCCTCCCATTGATGGTGCAAGACTTCCAAGGTGAGGTCACAGAAGGGCCACACGTTGGTCCCTGGTTCCCCCGGGTTGCTCGTCCTTTACCCAGGCCACCAAGCAGGCCCTGGACAGGGAACGGAGGATCCCCACCCTCGGGCGAGGTCAGCGGGGCTCCCGGCTTGTCACCATGTGAAAGAGCGGTTTTATCCCACCCCCAGCTATTTTTCCCAGGTTGCTCCTCCACCTATTGGAGCCACCTTCTTGGTCACTGCAGGGAGTCAAGGGGAAACCTCATGGGTGATTCAAGGCACTAAGTTTTAGGCTGCTGGAGTGCAGCAGGGGACCTGTCTCTAGAAGAAGGAGATAGGGTGGGTCTGTGCACATGAAGGGCTTAGCCCAGGACCAGGTCCATGGAACACACAGAAGGAACTCAGCACAGAGAGGGTGTTAGGTGGGCCCAAGGTCACACAGCTCCTGGACACATTTCCCTTTACTCTTGCTCCTGGGAGTGGTGAGGACTTGACTGTTCCCTCTGAGCTCATCCCACAGCTGGGGCCCTGACCTCTCTCCCCCCAAACTTAACTTGCACCCATTGCTCAGAGGAGGGCTGATCACCCCTGGGGGGACTCAGACAGGCTCCCGACAAGTCCCCCTCCCTGCCTGTCCCCCACAGGGGCCTTGTGGTTGCCCCAGGGAGGCAGGCCAAGCGGTCCCCAGCTGGGTATTGGCAAAGAAAGGTCCCAGGGCTGGGGAGGGCCCTCCTGGCACAGGACCCGGCTTCCTGGCTGCCTGTGGCTGTCCTGCGAGCTGGGCTGCCGTGAGAGAGGATCTGGTGACTTTCCTCTGGGCATTAATAATGCTGCTAATTAAGCAACCCAGGGAAGAGCAGGCTGGCGCCGAGGAGGGGACAATGGTCTGTAAAGGGAACAGAGAGCCGCATCAACCGCTTCCCATGCAGGGCTTTCAAAAGAGCAGCTGTGCGGAGCGGGCGGGCAGGAGCAGCAGGGATCTCGCCAGCGTGCCCGTTGTGGCTTTGCGCAGGCAGGGGACACTGGGAGGAGCCCGTGCCAGAGGCCCAGCTGTGCCCTTCGCTGGCAGCCCCTGCCCGCCCAGCTGGACGAGGCCTTCTCGGGAGCTTCTGGGCAGGCGGACGGAGCAGGCGGTCAGAGTGGACCAGCTGCTCCACACGGACTCCCACAGCCTTTCCCTGGCCTCCAGGTCAACGGAACAGGGAAGTTGAACCAAATTCCCTCCCTCCTTCTGAGCTCCTGGGGATCCTAGGCGGCTGCCTGGGAGGCAGAGAGCATGCGGGGATCCACTGGCCATGTCTGCAGCGATGCAGGTCCGCACAGGGGGGCACGGTGGCCGGCTCCCTGGAGGGGTGGCCGTGGTCCATCCATTCATCCGGAAGTTGTTGAAACCGGCTGCCAAGTATCGTGTGGTAGTTGAATACCGCTGACTCTCCCCGTCTCTGGGCCAACGTCCTTATCTGTCACTAGGAATTACACGTGGGCCGTCCGTGTCTGCAGGGCTTCGGCTCCAGGACCCTGTGGACACCCAAGTCTGCAGATGCTCACGCCCCTTGTTGAAAACGGTGCAGCATTCCCAAAGACCTCTGTCTGATGCCTCTCCAGGCACTGTCCTGGGCGCCACCTCCCTGGCTTTGCAAGCCAACTCTGTGAGTTTGTGGGGCAGATGTCATTAAGCCCCCTCTCCAAAGAGGGACCTGCAGCAGGGCCGTAGGGGGTAAGGCCTTGAACTGGAGCCTTCTGTTTCTTCCCCTGAACTTCCTTCCCCACTCCGAGATCCGACTCCAATAAGCCTCCAGGATTTCTCTGACGTATCCTACAGAGGTTTGTTTAAACCCAAATCAAATCAGGACACTCTCTTGCTCCAAGACCCCCCACTCCCTCCCACTTTCCCTCACATGGTCCCTGTGTGGGTCAGTGCACCCTGGGTCACACTGCAGTAACAAACATCCCCAACCCAGCACTGGACAGCGCCCTGCTCTGTGGTGCTCCTTCCTCCCTCCCACCCGCCCCACTTCCCCTCACTCTCCCAGACACACAGTCCCCGTGTCATTGAGCCTGGGCTGGGGTGTGCCGCAATCCCACACTCAGCACCACACAGCCCAAGGGGCCTGTTTTCTGTCACACTGTCCCTCCGTCATGGCTGGGCAAGGGCCCTGCTCCACTCACCTTTCCCTCCGCCCTGATGATGGTGCGGCCTCTCACTTCCAGCGGCCAGGGCCGAGGAGACGGCAGCGACCCGCACATGGGTTCTTGAATTTCTGCAGTAATTGGCTGGAGCCAGTGCTGTGGCCATGTTGGACGTCAGGGCACTGTGACCCTTCTGCAGCAAAGAACAGGGACAGCCACACTTATGAATACAGCGGCCCCCAGTGCAGCCAGGCAGCCGTCCAAGAACCCCTGCTCCTGCCACCTGGGGACCTACAGCCACAGGCCCTCAGCCACGCCCAGATACACAGGCCTTGAGCCACGCCCAGCCACGCCCAGCCACGCCCGGCCACGCCCAGCCACGCCCCAGCCACAGGCCCTCAGCTACGCCCAGATACACAGGCCTTGAGCCACGCCTGGCCACGCCCAGCCACGCCCGGCCACGCCTGGCCACGCCCAGCTACACAGGCCTAGAGCCACGCCCCAGCCACTCCCGGCCACGCCCTGGCCACGCCCCAGCCACACCTGGCCACGCCCTCCTGCCAGGCTCACTGTGGACACAGGGACGTGCGTATGCACACAGCTCTGTCGCTCGCTCTCATAAGCACACTCAGGCCCGCTCTGTCACTTCCCTGGACGCTCACACTTAGTTCCACGCCTATTTGCACACTCGACTGCTGGCACCTGCATCTCCCCTGTCTGGACTGAGGGTTTGCGTCCTCCCCAATTCCTACGCTGCCACCCAACCCCGAGGTGACGGCGTCCACGGGTGCAGGACACACACAGAAACCAGGCCTCTTGCTCCCTCCCAAGTGCGGTGGCCTGGGGCGCTGCGCTCTGAGGCCTGGGGGCTGAGCCCCGGGTCTGCAGGAGCCTGGCCAGGTGAGAGGCCCGGGCAGCCTCCTCTCCTCGCGGTGCCTGGCGCCGCCCCCTGTACCTGGCAGCACGGAGGGTGCCATCAGCTGCTGGGTACACAGGACACGAGCGACACAATTAGCCGCGCCTGGGATCCGTTAATTGCGCCAGTGAGAAATTCCAGACAACCTAATTTGGGGCTTTGCTCTCGAATGCTTCTTCACCTCACCTGAGCGCGGGGACACTGACAAGGGCTGCAGAGAGCTGGCTGGGCCCCAGCTGGACAGGCAGAAGGCCGGCCGCTGTCGTGGAGGTGGAGGAGTGGGATCGAGGCCACCAGGCAGGGAGGCCTCCTCCAGGTAGCCCGTCTAGATTGCCGCGCCCCCTCCGGCAGCCGCGGGGGTCTCCCACACCCTAGTTCAGCGGGTAGATTCGCGGCTCTTTTGCTATTGGAGGGCTCTGGTCCTCACACCTTCACGGAGCCCGTTACCTGTGGTCGTCATTATGGCTGGGGGTGGTGTGGACCCAGGTCCTCAATCTGCCTTTGGGCAGAGGGTTTGGTCAAGGCTCAATTTGTTCCAGAAGCATAAAAAGCTTAGGTCCAAGGAAATAAAAACCAAACCAGTTTGACTGTCGAAGCACCAACAAAGGTGACCACAGGAAAACATTTTATTTTATTTTTTGTACCAGGGATTGAACACAGAGGCACTCAACCACTGAGCCACGTCCTCAGCCCCTTTTGTGTTTATGTAGAGACAGGGTCTCACTGAGTTGCTTAAGGCCCTGCTAAGTTGCTGAGGCTGGCTTTGAACCTGAGATCCTCCTGCCTCAGCCTCCTGAGCCGCTGGGATGACACGTGTGCACCACTGTGCCTGGCACAGAAAATATTGTGAACTTCCTAACCTCTGAAATCTGAAGACTAAGTAGATGAAGGAGGAGGAGGAGGAGGAGGAGGAGGAGGAGAAGGAAGGACGGAAGGAAGGAAGGAAGGAAGGAAGGAAGGAAGGAAGGAAGGAAAATGGCAAAAACCTTTTGATTGCCTTATGATCGTGTCTGCTCTTCACCCTGGCCCCCTCCTGACCCGTCTTCCCGGAGCCGGGATCACTAATGCCCCATGGAGCTCCAACCCCGGGGCCTATTGTTGTCTTCCTAGGCATCTCCCAGGTGAACAGGTCAGGGATGAGGCCAGAGTCTTTTTGAAGGAGACCAGTGTAAGTTTTGCAGGATGCGTGGGAGTTTGGCAGGCAGAGAAAAGGGTTGGGAACGGCCCCTCAAGCAGGAAGGACGGTTCACATGAAGATAATGCAGTGTGAGGACAAGGTGGCAGCAGTGTGACAGATGCTACTGGACATGAGATTAGGACAGAACTTGAGGGACCTGGAAAGATCAGGCTTCTGTCTGAGGGCACTAGGGAGCCATGGCAGAACTTACACAGAGGACGTCCTTGATCAGATTTTCATGGGAGGATCCCTGTAGCTGTCAGGGGGTTGCGCAGGACTGGGAGGAGTGAGCCTGGAGTCCAGCAAGGAGGCTGCTGTTTTGATCCAAGGGAGGGGTGAAGGGGGTCTGGCGGGGATGCTGGCGGGAGGTAGGGAGGATGAGAAGCCGTGAATCCAGTGGGGAACCTCCTGCACCTTGGCTGCCCTCAGCCACTGTCCACGCCTCCAGGACTTTGCTCCTTCTGTTCCCTCTCCTGAAAATGCTCTTCCTGGCTGTACCTGCCAAGGATGTTTCTACTCGTTTGCTGGAATCCTGCTGAGTTTTCTTTTTGAGGTGCCGGAATTGAACCCAGGGTCACTCAACCCCTGAGCCCCATCCCCAGCCCTTTTTCATATTTTATTTAGAGACAGGGTCTCACTGAGCTGCTTAGGGCCTCGCTGTGGCTGAGGCTGTCTTTGAACTCGGATCCTCCTGCCTCAGCCTCCTGAGCTGCTGGGGTGGCAGGCGGGGACCACCTCACCCTGGCCAATTCTCTTTTCTGGGAAGCTTTTCTGGTCCACCCTCCCCCCAGAGGCTCCCTGGCTCCCCCTCCCCCGTGACCATGCTTGTCCATCCTTACTGCACTCAGGGGTGGGGCGTGGGGCGTACGCGTGTGTGTGCATGTGCAAGTGTGTCTCGTGCAGCCTGCGGTGGGCATTTCCAGGATGCAGTGATTGGGGTTCATGTGGACCCCTGTGTGGAGCAGATGGTGGTATGTCTCTGAAGGGCCCCAGGAATCAAGTGTGTGCGCGTGTGCATGTGCATGTGTGCATGTGCGTGTGCATGTGCGTGTGTGCGTTTGTGTGTGCGTTTGTGTGTCGGGGGCCTGATCCGTGGGTGCATTGGGTTCGCTGGCTTTTGCTCCATGGTCCAAGGCTTGTGTCCCCCACTTTCACACACTGGATTCACCTGTGGAAGGTGGTCAGGTTATGAAGTGTGACCAGTGCCCCTTGCCAATCAGGCTGGAGACACCTCCCTTACCCCCTTCTGCGTGTGAGGACACGGTGAAGACACCATGTGTCACACCAGCCTGCCAGCACTTTCCTCTCCCCAGACTCCAGGACGGTGAGCAGTGTCCTTCTGCTTATGGCGTTTTGTTACAGCAGCTCAGCCTGACTGAGACGCGCTCTGGCTCGGGCTTTCTTCCCAAGTGCAGCCCTGGCCGCCGCCCATCCCTGGGCTGGGAGCTGGGAACACGCGGGTCCGGTTCAGTGTGGGCTTCTGAGTCTGCGTTTTCAACCATCTCCTTGGTGATGCTGGTCCATGAACCACCCTTGGCATTGCCAAGCTGCTGCCACCCGGAAGGGACCTTAAGCTCACCCAGTGAGGCAGCCTCGGGAGACCCAGGCCTCACCCCCAGCTTCGGGGGCCTCGGCAGCCCTTGGGCCCTGCAGTCCCAGGAGGGTCCCTTCTCGGCCCTCCCTATTTTCCAGGCTGAGTGAGGGCAGCTCTGCGGGCACCCGCGGGGGTTTAATGTGCCCGGGCAGTTCTCGCGGCTCAGGTGCCAGCAGCCATAACTCACTCACTAAATGATGGCCATAAATTTCTCCAAAGAGATGGGTCCCCAGGCAGGGGGCTGGGGTGATGCTGGTATCATTGAGCAGAGCTCAGGCTTTGAGTCTCATTAAATGGGGGCATGAGCAGGGCTCAGAGGCCCGAGTCCCGCTCACAGGTACACGCTGCCCCTGGGCACTAGGGTGTCCCCATGGGCAGCTGGTGGTGGCGTGGGCAGGGAAGGTGTTATAGGGAGACAGCCAGGAAGCTCTGTTCTGACCCTCCATCCTGATGCTGCTTAAAACTGTATGTAGTGTAGTGACCCCCCCAGACATGTCCCCTAAAACCTATGAAGGGGACTCTTTTGAGAGTCTGCAGAGGTAATAATTTTTTGTGCCAAGGATTGAACCTCGAGGCACTTAGCCACTGAGCCCTTTAAAAATTTTTTATTTAAAGACACGATCTTGCTGAGTTGCTGAGGGCCTTCCTAAGTGGTTGAGGATGGCCTTGAACACGGGATCCTCCTGCCTCAGCCTCCCGAGCTGTTGGGAAGACAGGCGTCCACGGCGCCGGCTGCAGATGTGATTAAACAAGGATCTTGAGACTAGACCCATCTGGATGAGGATGGAGCCCAAGTCCCACGATAAGCGTCTGCAGGGGACGGGGCGGAAGCCAGAGGCCGAGTGAGGACAGAGGCAGAGACAGGAGTGAAACAGCTGCAGACCTGGGCCATTGGCAGGGGCAGGGAGCAGCTCCAGGTCGGCATGGCCCATGGGGCGTGGCGGGAGGGCTCCACTGGGCAGGGGGCCCCGTGGGCGCTGGGGTGGCGCACCGCCTGGCCAGGCACCCGGGAGCTGAGTCCCCAGCTGCGGGCAGCGACCGGCCCCGACCCAGCCCTGGTGGTTTCGCGACTGCAGAAGAATGAGCCGGGATTGGGGTGGCTGTCCAGGGTTTCCGCTCGCTCAGGACGCGCTGGGGACTTGCTCCTGGGACTTCTCCTGGGCTGCTCTGCTCACGGGGGAGGGGGTCAAGCCACCAGACACCCCGATTCCCACGCAGTCCCTGGCTGGGTCGGCGCTGCTGCAGACCAAGAGCCCCCAGCAAGGTCCCGTGGCAGGTGGCAGGGGGCAGGAGGAGGAGCGCTGGGAGCCCAGGCTGCATCCTGGTGGGGGAACCGGGTCTCGCAGCTGGGGGGGGGGCGCCAGAGGGTGGGGAAGTCTGGGGTCCTGGGCCTGGCCTGTGGGATCCGGGCAGGTCAGGGGGTTGGGGTTGCTCAGGTGTCAAGCCGAGGTGTGACCAGGAATGCTCCACAGCTGGGCCCAGGTGCACACCT